TTTTTTGTTTTCAGCTGTGTTTGGAGTTCGTCTTTCACAGAATTAATTATTTTTTTGCTGTGACTTCCACATTTATCACTGAATTTATCACGCAATCTCCTTCCTGCACGTCTGTCGGACCGGAGCGGAGCAGAGGTAGTGTAAACTGGACTTGAAACGCACAGCTGCRACCTGCGCAGCGGAGCAGAGAYGRAATGCAAGTAGTGTWAATTAGGGGTAAGATGTGCTGTTGATGCATGGTGTTGTATARYGCAATTAAAATGGGGMAGAAGACGTGGCAGAGACTGGCATGGTGCCAGTTTCCCCTCCAYCCCAATTCTAATCCAAAACCCKAAATRTCTAAAAGCAAACATTGGGAAGTGGGCACAGGCATCWGTGACRAGAGTGTTCCATCCCACCCCTTAGATGCCATAAKTGCCCACCCCCATGTTCCTATATGTAAATGTTTTGAGGATGTTATGAGTGAATGTCTAAGCTATGCACGTGATGTATGAGGTGGGAGGGCAGAGGGAGGGATCACTATAATGTATCCCCCACATCTTTTCCCAGCATAAACACTCAGGCTGTGTCTCAATTCAGGGGCTGGGTCCTCATGAGTGCGCATTTGTTGGCCGCATACGTCATTGCCCCGCGCGGAGGACTGTCCCAATTCGATGGCTCCTCATCCTGCGGCCGAGGAATGCGTCCTACTTCCTGTCGAAATCCAAGGATGCATCCATGTATCCTTACCAGCCGAGGATATCCCAGGATTAAATGCGCGGGCAGCAAAATAAACTGAGAAATGAAGACGGTGGTGATTTTATTTTTTTAACGTGTCAGCGCACGTTGGAAATTCACCACGGACCGAAGGATTTCTTTTTTAAAAGTAAATTTAGCAACTTAGCTGATGAAATTTATGCTGCAATAAGATCTTAAATAAAACAACATGCAACTACAAGTTACGAGAATAAAGTATTATAAGAATAAAATCATAACATTACGAGAACAAAGTCATAATATTATGATGCATTGACAGATTTAGTCGTCACGTAGTTAATTTGGAAGACAGCTTATTAATCTAACAGTGATCCAGGTCATCACGGACTACTTTATAAACACAGAGAAACACGTGGTTGTGCACAGAAGGTATGAGGGGGGAAATAACTTTATTTAATTCAGCAAACAAATAACAAAAAATAAATAAATAAAAAGAAAAAACTAATAATAATAGAAACAAACAAATAATTAGACAACGTTGTGTC